TTTGAGTGTGTAAGCAATCGTAAAAAACTGTAAAACGGGCCACATGTTTGACATGCAGACGTTCTTCTACGATCTGAAAGCCGCCGCTAGGTGGCTCTGTATTTCCAGTCTGTTTGTGGGCAGTATAATGAGGAGGGAGGCGAGAGGATAAGACGCTGATAAATTCTCTAGAGTGAAAGGAAAGAATCTCTCTCTCTCTCTCTCTCTCTCTCTCTCTCAGAGAAAGACTATATTTTTTAGCCATTTCTATCCCATCACTAAGTGGACATACAACCCCGGGCTTCATAACTAGACGCGCCTGCAGTTATCTGGTGCTCATTTGAACGTTTTCATCGCTGCTCCATTCATCAACCTGCGGAGAGCATCGATCCGTTCCTCCGGCGAGTCATGGCGAGAGATCCCGAGCGGAGCAGCTGCCTTCTGCGCGATCTACGGCAGCGAGCCGGTAACGAGCTGTGCGCGGACTGCGGCGCTGCAGGTAAGAGCTTCTCACCTGGACAACAGAGGCTCGAGGCGCCGCACCTGCTGTGAAAGGCCCAGAGCACAGTGGGCTACACATGCTATGAAAAAATGTATGTAAAATATGATATTTTTAATCATAATAATTTTTAAAAGTATAGTTAAATATAATATGTATTTTCCCCATTAATAACATTTATTTTAATATTATTTATTTTATTTTTAGTAAATAATATTTATTTTTATTTATATTTGTGGTACATTATTAAAATAAAAACGTTTTATATAATGTAGTAAGAAAAGTTATAATAAACATATAATATAAATATTTAGTTTAATTTATATTTGTTATAATTTTATTAACATAAAATTATATATATATATATTAAGTTATAATATATAATAAATTGTGTTATATTTTTATAAAAAAATCATTTAATATGATTTATGAAATGTTTAGTTTTAATTTTAATTTGTTATTTATTATTGCATTTTAATTAAGTATATTGTAATGTCATTATATATTAGTAGAATAAAAATTAGATATATATATAGTAAGTTAAGTTATAATATATAATAAATAAAGCATATTTAATATTTTAATATGATTTGTGAAATTTGTATGTTTAATTTCTATTTGTAATATTAAGTATTTTGTAATGTCATTATATTATATTTTAAAAATAAAATAATATAAATGTGACAGTAAGTTAAGTTATATTAATATATAGCAGAACTTATAAATAATATAATAATAATTAGCATTATTAATATTTAAATTCTATGAAATATATTGTATTAAATATTTGTTATTTATATTTATTTATTGCTACAATTTCAATTATGTAATGTCATTATATTACATTGTATTGTTATATTATTTGAATAAAATTATATATAAAATATATATACATTTACATTCATGCATTTATCTTTAATTATATTATGAATTGCTCTGTATGTTTTATATAACGCGTGTAAGCTTCTCCAAAGTAATTTCATGCCAAATAAATGTTGTTTATTGCACACTTTCTTTAGCAGTGACCACATGTTTGTGTCTTCACTTCGGGGACTTCTACAGTGTCATTAAAGTGATTCAGCATTGTGTATGAAGCTACAGTCACATGTCATCATTGTGCCTCGCAGGGAAACAACATGGAGCTTTGATTGTCACTGAGCTCTTGTTTCGGGAGAAGACGTGTGTGTTTCTCATGATGTGATGATGATAATATGGTGCATTTAACCCATGCACACATGGGTGACACACAGCACTCACATTTGTAATGCGAGGTGTTAAACATGAGTTTGTGGTAGATTTGAGGGGTGTTGTCAGAGGGATGTGTGTGTGTGTGTGTGTGAGTCACAGAGAGTGAGTGACTCAGCTGTATTCTCAGGTCTTATACCTGCACAGCTCTTTTTTGAGTGTGTGTTTACTGATTTTAGGCAAGAAAATGTGAATTTGTTCAGATGCAGTGTCATACTGTACCTATTTCTCTGCATTGCAGCATTTCAGTACAGTATAACGCACACAAACGCACGCGCTTACATACACACTGTCCTATTAAGACGCTAATAATATGGTGACTCTCACAAGAGAGTTCTGGGATTTTTGCCCAGCGTTGGACGTTGGCCCATTCTGACCGTATTACGACTGCAGGCGCTTTACAGGCCAGAGGAAAACACAGCGTATAGGCCAGACAGAGCGATGAATGCGGTTTGAATGACACATGCTAGACGCTTCAGATGATTCAGGGTCAACAGGGTTAAAGTGACATCCTCAACACTTCTGTTTTCCTCACTTTTGATGTATATGTTGAATGATGGAGGACAGAGTAAGATCCAAGGGAGATGCGAACATGAGTGTTATTTTACTATCATTGACATAATATTATAGATTTTGTTAAAGGGGTCCTATTATGCTTTTTCACCTTTTCAACTTTAGCTAGTCTGTAATGTTGCTGTTTGAGCATAAAAAAGATCTGCAAAGTTACAAAGCTAAAAGTCCACTTCAAAAGGATATATTTTATTTAACAGAAATCACTTTTCAAAAACTACAACGAACGACTCGTTTGGACTACAGCGCATATTTTCCGGGATTTGTGATATCACAAATATCGACGAATGGGATGAGACCTGTTTGAGCTGCACTAGAGAAGGCAACAAGTGTTATCACTATGTCGGAGACACGCTAAGCTTTCCCAAGACAGACGAACTTAGAGTGGTTACAATCATCCGGGTTTAAATCGCGCTCAAATTGATTTGATATTGACGCAATATTTACCCTGAAGCTTGCAGGCGTCTATGGTAAAGGGGCGTGACATTTCCCGACCAGGCGCCGAATGCTGCCAATCACAACACACACTGGCCCTGCTAACCAATCACAGCACATTTCGTACCAGCTAACCAATCACAGCACATTTCCTATTTCAGAAGGCGGGCCTTCATTTGATACAGGAACTATTCGAGCCGTTCATGCCAGACTGGGGAGAGAGGTGTTGTAATAATGTAAAATATGTGAAAAATAATGTGTTTTTCGAACAACCTAGTATGAGAGCCTGTTCTAGTACACCCCCAAAACAAAACCAAGACTTTGTAAAAGAGTAATGTGTTTTTCGAACAACCTAGTATGAGAGCCTGTTCTAGTACACCCCCAAAACAAAATCAAGACTTTGTAAAAGAACATAATAGGACCCCTTTAATATTTTGAAGTAAATTTTAGTTTAGGATTTTTGGTCATTTTCATGTTTTTGTCAGATTTATGTTATTTTTACAAAATATGTCTATATTGTTTTTATTCATTTTTATGCTTTATTTAGTTTTAGTTGTTTTACTATTTCAGCTTTTTACAAATGTTTTATTTCAGTTAATGTTTATTTTATTTGAAGTAATGAATTTCTTTTATGGTTTTAGTTTTAGTTAATGATAATAACCCTGGCATTGGCTCCTACAATACTAATAACCAGTCAAAACAATAGTCGATGCAAATCACTAAAATAGCGAATATTCAAACTGCTTCTTGTTAAAGTTTTAGTAATTTTTTTGTCTATTTTGTTGTCATTTTTATTAGTTTTTGTGTAAAGTTTTTGTTAATTTATTTTAAATATTAGTTTTTGCTCTTTGTTTCAGTTTTTGTTTATTTTTTAATTACACTTATATACTTATAGTTTTATTTTATATAGATTTTATTTTATTTCGTTTGAGTTATTTTAGTCTCCAACTTAAAATAAACAAAAATGAGAATTTTTTATATTAATACAAATTTAAAGTGATACTGTATATACTACAGCATATAGCAAATCTCAACTACTTAATTGTTTATATTGTCCAAAAATGTAAAATATATTATTGCATAGCTTTAATCTGCAAAATATGACTATAAGGCATGAAAATATTAAGACATTTTAAATTATAACATCAAGATTTTCTGTAAAGCTGCTTTGAAACAATGTGCGTTGTGAAAAACGCTACACAAATCCATTTGACTTGACTTGACTTCACTAAATATTTTATGGGAATCACTTATTATCTGTTGCATAATTTCACCTTGATTTAGTTTACTTATTTATTTTTTGCCTGTCAAATTTGGCTGAATTGAGTGTGATGGATGACTTTCTCTCTTGCTCTCACACAGCACAAACACTTTTTGCCTGTATTCACACACACACAAACTCACACACACACACACACACACACACACACACACATATGTATATTTATATATATATATATATACACGACGGACATCAAATCTTTCAGAAATATGGCATACTCAGAAAAACTGAAGCCACTGAGCAACACACAGAGCGCACAATGATCTATATTCAGAAAGCTGGCGTGTTTTATGGTTTCACAGACGCTTCTCGTGGCGCGTGCAGCAGCTCAGTCTCTGCTGAAGCACACTGTTGGTGCCTGTCACTTTGGCACTCGATGAGTAAAGGTCAGAGCGTTCAGTGCACTGCCATCACACACGTCAAATCATCCAGACGCCGCTGACACTAAGACCCCGTTTACACTAGTACGCACATCTTTACACTTGTGATCTGATCACACAAGTGCAAACAGTGCACCAAATGTTTTACATTCATTTTACATTCTTTCTCGTTCAAACAATAACCTCACTGTTTTTTTGCACAATGAGTGTGTTAGACACACACTCGATTGACACAGCTTCTCATGGATTGCGTCACTTGAAGAAGTAAAAAAACCTGGCTTTCTGTTTATGCCTGCTTTGCCTCCCATGCGAGTCTCGGGCTGTTCAACTCAAGGAATTCCCAGCGTTTAGCAACACTCGCACCTGAAGTGTGTCAAACTCACAGTTTCTCTGAGCTGTTGTCTGTGCGTATAGAGAGTGCGTGTGTGTGTGAGTTGTGGGTGACATTACACACTTTCCTGTCGCCCTCGTATTGTGGGTTCACTTGCGTTTAACGTTTTATCTGAGACTAACGGGTTTATTGTTATAAATAACCTCTGTTGTGTGTATGCAGTTTTTAAACCACTTAGACCTCAGCATCAACTGTGAAGGGAAGAGAAACACACAGACCGCCCTGTTTTTAACCAGTTGTTAAAGAGGTTTTGCTGCAGTTAGTGTTCAGTATTTTGGCCTCCACAAGAGGTCTGTCTATAGATACATATAAAAATAAATGGTATAGCAATGACTTTATTGTCTGTGTGCCAGTATGCATACTATCAGAAATAGTAAGCAAGAATAGAATTAGTGCAACCTAGTGCAAATTGCCAGAGGTGCACTATTTAAATATATTGCACATGAATTTTAAAGGAATTGCTAAAATAAAATTTCTGTCATCATTTACTCACTGTTCCAAACATGTATGACGACTTCTGTAGAACAGAAAAGAGGAAATGTTAAATGTCAAAACTCCAAAAAAGTACCTTATGCAGGCAATTCATCAAAAGATGAAATGAACACTAGTGGCAGGAATACACCAACAACATTTATTGCTTTTCACACAAATAAGGACAAGTTTTTCGCACAGTTCCTTCCACAATACTATGTTATGAGCTCAAAACAGTTTTACCATAGTGCATGATTTGTAAACTAACACATTTTGATGTTTGCATCTCATAACCAGCTCCTTATATTTGGCTTTTCTGATGTAGTAAACTTGCTCGGTAGCGCACCCGGTACAGTTATCGTGGTACGGGTCACGATAAAACAGCTCAAAGACTTGTAGAAGCAAGATAACATGACATGGTTGCTTCAACAAATGTGTTTTTATCTCACGTTTGCTTTTATTAACACTATTGGTTAGGTTTAGGGTTGGATTTAGTTACGTTATTTTCAAACGCAATACAGCATTAACCTTTTAGCGCATTGCATTTCCAAACTGTCACGATATATATACAGCAATCAATGTAATGTAACATTGCCAGATTCACATTCGTCAGTTTCAGGTAAAGCCGAACATGCTTTTAGCTCCACCCCCTTGGCATTTCACTTTGAAATGGTTGTGAAACGTGTGAAAAGCAATGTAATATAATTTTGCAGAAATGTCGCCACAGACATATTTTTGTATGTGCAAAAAATAATTTGCTGGTGACTCTTTTTCATGCAATTATTAATATTATCAATGCAATGTGATGCTTAAAATAATGAGTTAGTTTAGGTTTAAACTGTGTAAATGGATATTTTAAATGCAAATTAAATGCACAAATCTTAAAATATTTTTTGCAACACACTTGAAAGTATGAGCTTCAGTCCCTTCACCAGCCAATTCATACTTCTTCTAAGTATGCAAATTGGGGATGCGCGTCAAATATTTATAAATCTTCTTCCTTCCTTCTTTCTTCCTCAGAGCCGGATTGGGTGTCTGTGACGCTGGGTGTGTTCGTGTGTCAGGGATGCTCGCTCATCCACAGAAGCATCGAAAGCCTCAGGCAGGTGAAGTCTGTGCTGCAGGACACATTTGAAGATAAAGAAATCGAGGTGAGTCACAGACGATCCACAGGCAGGTTTGTTTTTTTGGCTGAAGGCTGTTTCCTGCTCCAGGGCTGGATGTACTGCAGAAACCAGCCTTTTCTGATCTCCTGAATACCATCCAAATCTGTAGTAATCTCAAGAGCCACAGAGATTGATTGGCTCTTTGCCTATTTAAAAGATTGAGGATGCAAACCATTAGGGCTCAACATAAGCTTGGGAATCCAAAGAGAGCTGATGTTTGTGATAATCTGAACAGAGCCATCAAGTAAATGGAGCATTAAATTAAAAAGTGCTTATGAATCTTTTTCACAGACTGTGATTACACGTTTTAAGTAGTGTTATGTTTTTTATATTTTCATTTTTAAACTATCGTTTGTACATTTAGCTTTAGTGTGTATTATAAATTACATCGAATTTATACAAATTGCATCAAATTACAAAAAACGAGTTAACGCTAATGCGAGTGTGCGAGCATCTATGGAAGTGAAGGTAAAGTTGGCACCGTTTTCTCTTCTGACTGCCGTTATCAGTCTCTTTATATGTTATATTTAAACACTATTGTGGAGTTTTGATCTTGCAGTTTGAGCAAATGGGAACACAAAAAACGACTTCCGCTGCTGAAATTAAAGGAATGGTTCACCCAAAAATGAACATTTGCTGAAAATGTGCTCACCCTCAGGTCATCTAACATGTAGATGAGTTTGTTTCTTCGTCAGATTTGGAGAAATTTAGCATTGCGTCACTCGCTCACCAATGGATGCTCTGCAGTGAATGGGTGCCGTCAGAATGAGTCCATTGGGGAGCAACTGATGCAATGCTACATTTCTCCAAATCTGATGAAGAAACAAACTCATCTACATCTTGGATGGCCTGAGCGTGAGCACATTTTCAGCAAATGTTCATTTTTGGGTGAACTATTCTTTTAATAAATGCGGTAGATGTATTATTTGTTTAATATTGTGCCTATAAATCATGCATTGCATTCTATTCCTGTAGTTGATCACGTCTATGGGGAATGAAGCAGCAAAGGCCAAGTACGAACAGCAAGTTCCTCCGTTTTATCACCGTCCCTCCCACACAGACTGCAGGTAGGACTCAAACACCTTAATACTCTACAGCATCGTTTCCAAGAAAACACACTGATTGCTCTTGCCGTGCCAGGCTTGTTTCTTCCTGTTCCCTGTTGAGTGCACTTACAGTCTTGTAGCTTTAAGGCGCTGATGGTGTTTGCTTTCTTGTGGTCATTCCGTCATCAGCAGCAGCAGCAGCAGCATTGTGGGGGTTTTTGAACCGTCACACACAGACCGTCAGAGGGACTGCTTTCTCACATGGCTCGAGAATGTGGTCCAGTGATGTTGACGTTTACTTCCTTCCTGCTTGTAGGTTGCGTTTCATGATGAGTGGCACTTTGGCCAAAATATTCTGTTCGCATATGTTCACACATGCAATGTAGACATCTTTTTTATGAAAAACAAAATAAAGGCCATATTTAAATGCTAAATATGTTCGTTTTAACCATTTTTAAACTAATAATCTACACTGTAAAAAATGATTTTTCAATGTTGTAAACATACTCAAATAATATTTGTTTGATTTACAAGAAAATATTATTTCAGTCTTTCACATTTTATTCAATGTATCGCTTGGCATTTCTTTATAATTAATGGTCAAATGTAATAGAAATTTCTGAGTGAATTGTTTCTTGGTAAACCTTACACCATTTTTTCAGTGTATGAAACCTGTTTCTGCCTCAGAGTAAAAAAGGTCTTTGTGAGATCAAAAAAATAAATAAATAAAAATCACGTTATGAAATAAAGTGACATTGTGACAATTTCAAGCAATATAGTCACAACTGGGAGAAATAAACGTGAAGTTATGACGTGGCAGTTGTGAAACATACATAAGACACAACTGAAAGAAGCAAAGTCACAATTACCTTCTTATTTGTTTTACTCTCTCTGAGGCTGGTCAAATGATTGTGTGATCTTTCGCAATTTTGGAAATATGTCATTTTACAGAAGTACAATGGGTGGTTAGTGTTGATTTAAGGCTCACTGTGGTTAAAAAATGCTTTTGTTTACACCAACAAAAGACTTTTTCTCTTTCACTGTGCATGCAGTTTTTAAAGGGAATAATTCAGCCAAAAATAACAATGTGCTGAAAACGTCCTCAACCTCGGGCCATCCAAGATGTAGATGAGTTTGTTTCTTCATCAGATTTGGAGAAATGTAGCATTGCATCACTTGCTCCCCAATGAATGGGTGCCGTCAGAATGAGAGTCCAAACAGCTGATAAAAACATCACAATAATCCACACCACTCCAGTCCATCAGTTACCATTTTGTGAAGCTAAAATCTGCATGTTTGTAAGAAACATCTGCATGTTTTGGTTTGTAAACGGTGTTTGATCAGATCTCTCTCCTGATTCAGACCAGACCACTTTTTCACTTGAGGAAGCCTTATTGTGGATTCTGAACTCATATTTTAGTTAAAAATGTCTTGATGGATTTGTTTCTTACAAACACGCAGATTTTGGCTTCATAAGACATTATCCAAAGGACTGGAGTGGTGTGGATTACTTGTGGATTATTGTGATGTTTTTATCAGCTGTTTGGACTCTCATTCTGACGGCACCCATTCACTGCAGAGCATCCATTGCTGAGACACTGATGCAATGCTACATTTCTCCAAATCTGATGAAGAAACAAACTCATCTACATCTTGAATGGCCTGAGGGTCCATTAATGTAATACTGACACATGAATTGTTGTATTTGTCTTGGGCAGGATTTTGAGGGAACAGTGGATCAGAGCCAAGTATGAGAGACAGGAGTTTATACACATCGAGAAACAAGAGCCTTATTCAGCAGGTGAGAGCAGCACATGCAAACATGCATTGTGATTCCTCATGCAATTATTAGCTTTTGTTTTTGTGGGTTCATGGCACTGTGAGGTCAGTCTCATTCTCTCATTTCAGCCACATCTCTAGATGTTTATTTGTTCCTGACTATGCACACTTGACCTTGTGAGTTTTGTCTCAGAGGTCCATACTGCGTCTAACTGGGAAAGTCAGTTTCATTACCACTCAGAATATCCAGTTTCATGGCTTACAGTCTTATTTATTGGGAAGCGAGGTCTCATTGGCTGACAATGATCTCATCTTTGATACACACTGAATAGCACACATGCACGCACAAACATACATGCATCTGTGTTCTGTGTTGCATTGCATGAATTTCATTGTACTGCATGAGATTTGCTGATGTGTTTAAACATTCAAGCTGAAGTCATTTGTGTGTGTAATGGTGTTTTTGTGGTGGGTGTACAGTAAATAGCATTAGTCACACAGTGTGGCCATTTGCAATCTAATAGCATGCTGGATCCCGACAGAACTGAATGCTGGAGTATATTGTCTGGAGGCTACGGCGTGGGCATTGGTATTTTTGCAAGACTGAATTCAGTGCCGGCTTGAGACATTCTGTTTCCACCTTCCCACTCTTCCCCGCTTCATCTCTTCTTCTACCATCTCAAGTATTAAATAGTATTGAAGTAGTTTGTTTACCAATCAAAAGTTTGAGGCCAATGGGGTTTTTTCATGTTTTTGAAAGAAGACTCATTTGCTCACCAAAGCTGCATTTATTTGATCAAAATACAGTAAAAATTGTGAAAAAGTATTATGATTTAAAATAGCTATTTTCTATGTGAATATATAGTAAAGTGTAATTTATTCCTGTGATCCAAAGCTGAATTTTCAGCATCATTACTCCAGTCTTCAGTGTCACACGATCCTTCAGAAATCATTCTAATATGCTGATTTGCTGCTCAAGAAACATTTCTGATTCTTATCAATGTTGAAAACAGTTGTGCTGCCAAATATTTGCGTGGAAACGGTGATACATTTTATTTTTCAGGATTCTTTGATGAATAGAAAATTCAAAAGAAGAGAATTTATTTGAAATAGAAATTTTTGTAACATTATAAATGCCTTTAACTGTCACTTTTGATCAATTTAATGCATCTCGATTAATAAAGGTAATCATTTCTTCACAAAAAGAGAAAGAAAATAAAAACTGACCCCCAAACTATATACAGTACATACATAATTATATATAGATTTTTGTTACTATATATATAATACAATGAAATAATATAATTAAACTAGCTGTATCTTATTTTATATTGTTACTAACTGAAATAGTAATGTTTTGTACTATATTGTTTTGTACATGTTATTATATTATATTCATTATTATTATTTTAATTCAAACGTATTTATCAAATTATAAACGTATGTCTTGCATACAAATGTTTTTGCATATTCTGGACTGTTATCATGGAGAGGCAGAATCCAGACGTCTCCAACAGAAGAAGTGCTTTATAAAGAATCAAAGGCCTCTCTCATAATCTCCATATCTCTCATCTCTCGTCTCTCTCACACACATGCTCTCCTCTTCTCTCTCGCTGTCCTTTCCCCTCGTCTCCTGCAGTTTCCTGTTTGAATCAATGACGAGACGTTTCGTTACGTGTTCAATAGTGTTATTGATGGGTCATGTGGAGAGGCACGGTTATCGATTGATGAGTGAATGATTCATGAGCACTAGTGTACCAAAAAAAAAGAGAAAGCAGAGAGACAGATAGAGGCCAGTTTCTTATTAGTGCACACTAAGGTAAGCATTGCTAATGCTATTGCTTAGGGACTTTAAAACCTAAACACAAGCATTAAAGGATTAAAAAAATTTCCTGATAATTTACTCACCCCCATATCACCCAAGATATTCACATCTTTCTTTCTTCAGTCGCAAAGAAATTACGTTTTTTGAGGTAAACATGCAGGCTTTTTCTCCATAAAGTGGGTCGAAGATCCAAATTGCAGTTTCAATGCAGCTTCGAAGGGCGCTATACACGATCCCAGCTGAGAAATAAGGGTCTTATCCAGCAAAACAATCGCTCATTTTCTAAAATAAATAAATGTTTATATACTTTTAACCACAAATGCTCGTCTTGCACTAGCTCTGCGATGCGCGTCAAAGACTTTGCATTACATAGTCATGTTGGAACGGTCACACATGACGTAGATGGAAGTACCGACCCAGTGTTTACAAAGTGAATGTGCAAAGAAAGTCAAATGCCCTTTACGGACGATATCAAAGTTGGAGGAGAAATTCAGATGGAGTTCGGTACTACTTCTGCCTAAAGCGAAGTCGTGGACAAGCATCGCAGAGCTAGTGCAAGATGAGCATTTGTGGTTAAAAAGTACATCATTTTAATTTTTTTTTGGACCATTGAGGTCCATTATATGGAGAAAAATCCTGGAATGTTTTCCTCAAAACTTAATTTCTTTGCAACTGAAGAAAGAAAGGCATGAACATCTTGGATGACATGGGGGTGAGTAAATTATCAGGGATTTTTTATTCTGGAAGTGAACTAATCCTTTAAACCTCTGTCCCCTTCTAGAAAGCATTTGATTGGACAGAAATCTCTAGTGCTGGATGAGTCATCAGTCATTTTTATTGTTTTTAAAGGGGTGGTTGATTGCGACGGAAAAAATCCAGTGAACCACCCCTTTAAAGGCTTTTAAAAGTTCAGTTTATCAATGTTTTAGGAGATCATTACTATTTGTGACCCTGCAGCACAAAAGCAGTCATGAGTAGCATGGGTATATTTGTAGCAATAACCAACAATACATTGTGTGGGTCAAAATGATCAATTTTTCTTTTATGCCAAAAATCATTAGGATATTAAGTAAAGATCATGTTCCATGAAGATATTTTGTACATTTCCTACCGTAAATATTTCAAAAATGTATTTATCATTAGTGATATGCATTGCTAAGAACTTCATTTGATCAACTTTAAAGGTGATTTTCTCAATATTTTGATTTTTTTTGCACCCTCAGATTCCAGATTTTCAAATAGTTGTATCTCAGCCAAATATTGTCTTATCCTAACAAACCATACATCAATGGAAAGCTTATTTATTCAGATATATCTTACAGCTAACAGACGTGGCCTTACAAGCTACAAAACTCTTTAGCTGTCTTTAGTGTTTATTTCTTTATCTTTTTCCGTTTTGATGTTGCTCATGTATAGTAAGCTACAACTTCCTTTTTTACTAAAATATTTTAAGGATGTAGATATTCATAGACGCTATGTGGAAAACCCTTCTCCTCATGCTTTCTTTTTCACTCTCTCTCGCTCTTTTTTAGGGTACAGAGAGGGCTTTCTGTGGAAACGTGGTCGAGACAATGGGCAGTTCCTCAGTCGCAAGTTCATTCTGTCTGAACGAGAAGGAGCGCTGAAGTACTTCAACAAGCAGGACGTTAGTCTCTTCTTCTCTCTCACACGCACGCTTACTCATCTGAATGAGGAATTTATGCTGGATGTATATTTGGCAACGCTTTAGATTAGGGAACACATGTTCACCATTAATATTAAAGAATTTATTAAAGAATAATAAACTCCTAATTTGCTGCTTATTAATAGTTAGTAAGTAGTTGTTAAGTTTGGCGTCAGATTAAGGGATCTAAAATATGGTTATGCAGAATAAGACATTCATATGTGCATTATAATAAACAGCCAATATGCTAGTAATATGCATGCTAATAAGCAACTAGTTAATAGTGTTAACTAGTCTAAAGTGTTACCAAATATTTTGTATATATCTGGGTTATTATAGTTAGCTAAAACTAGAACCATGAAAATCATGATTGTTACCTAAAATAAAATATTTTAAAAAGTATATTATTTCAGCTAGTTGCCAAGGCAACATTTCTAATTTTCATTTCAAGTACTAAAATAACTACAGCCAAAACTGAAATAAAATTAATAAATACTATATATAATATACGTATATACAAAATACAAATACAAAATTACTAAAACATTTACTAAAATAACCTAAAATAACTAGAATTAAAATGAAAATTTATAACAATGTAACAACATAAATTCAAACTATTAATAAAAACTCAAATACTATCTTAATGATACTATCACAATTATAATAATTTTAGAAAGGTATTTCGAAAAAAATGATATTAAACCGAAAACAATCCCGGTCCACCGGCACTATAAAACTGTAATGTGACTCTAGGGACTTTCTGGTTGGTTCTCAAAATGTTTTGTAGTCCAGAAAGCTTGCGTTTATAGCTGAGATATTTATTTTATCTTCCAGGCAAAAGAACCAAAGGCCATAATGAGGATTCAAACCCTAAATGCTACTTTCCAGCCGGCTAAAATAGGAAACCCCTGCGGCCTGCAGATCACCTATCTGAGAGACAACAGCACCAGGAATATCTTTGTGTACCATGAGGACAGTAAGGTATCAGGCCCATCAAATTCCCTCGCTTGTGCTCGTGAATGTTTCAGATTGTACATCTGCCAGATGCTTTTCTCCAAAGTAACACAGTTTATCAATAGACGACAGTACAGTCACTGTCTCTCTCAAGGTCGGATCTTGAAATGTTTCAGTGCATAACCGTCATTGCATTCAGCCTTTATTCAGACTCTTATTATTCAAAAGAGTCAGTTTGATATGATTGCATTTAATTTCTTCCCCTGAGGCCCACTTATAATGTTTCTTGCTCCCAAACGGGTCATATTTGAGTTTTTCATGACCATTTTCCACGCTCTGACTAACCGGTATAATTAAATTGCCTGTTTTTAATGTTTGGCCTTTAAGACTTCCATAGAAATGTAAATGTGAAATGAACGAGAGTCCTTACTGAGATGGGTTGAAAATGATCATTTAAATGCCCTGTTCCTCAAAAACAGCCTGTTTGCTACAATTTGCTACAGTCTACAATTACAGTGTGTCATATATTTGACAAAGTTTACACATATCTTACTTTTTTTGTTAGGCGTATACCAACTCGAATAACGATATGCTCTTCACAGGGTTAATATTGTTTACTAAAATTAAAACGGAAACTAAAATCAAAACCATAAAGAATTCATTATTTGCTAGTTACCATGGTGACATTTCTCATTTTAATTTACTTTGGAAAAAAACAAACTGAAAAAAGACAAAAACAATAGAGACATATACCAAAAAACAACAACAATAACAACTAAAAATGACAAAAACACACAACAAAATTACTAAAACTTTAATTAAAAATGAAAATAGAAAAATAAAAACTGATCTAAAATAACAGTATCTCAATTATACTAAAATAGCGTAGCTTTTCCCCTTGGTGCTTAATATTAAAAAATAACAATAATGATATTGAGCCTCCTATAGAGCCCCAAGTTTCTATGCAATATACATTTTTTTTTCTAAATATACAGGTAAGTTGTGTTTTTATCACCTGAAATGCACTGCCTATTATATTTCTAAATCAATTTATATAATACAAACACAAAACATGCTCAAAGCCACACATTTGTATTGATGCTGAATGAGAGATACAAGAGTTTATTTGCATGTTGCATTTCCCACAAACCACTAGTTTCGGTTTGACTTTAAATAAATTTGTTTAGATTTAAATAATAGAAAAATTGTTTATATATATATATATATATATGTGTGTGTGTGTGTGTGCGTGTGTGTATGTGTGTGTGTGTGTGCATGCTGCTCTCGCCAACTCTATCTTCATCCGGCATACAAATGAAAAGCCAAAGCTAAGAGGTTTACACATGGATGATCAGCAGCTCATCTCATTGACATTGGGAGAATATTAAAACGGGTCTTATTGGGGAAGTAAAAAATATATAGATATAAAAAATATATATTTTCACTGTGTGTATATATATATATATATATATATACATACAGTGAAAATATATATTTTTTATATCTATATATTTTTTACTTCCCCAATAAGACCCGTTTTAATATTCTCCCAATGTCAATGAGATGAGCTGCTGATCATCCATGTGTAAACCTCTTAGCTTTGGCTTTTCATTTGTATGCCGGATGAAGATAGAGTTGGCGAGAGCAGCATGCTGGGGTATTGGGGTCAAGCGTTGGTCAGTACAGCGCTTCTACCACAAACATCAGTGCTTTGAGCTGTAAAAACGCTCTTCCTCTTTCACCACAAACAGTACCTGTGTGCTTTATCACAAACATGAATATTTATCATTCCTTAGAAAGAGGAACAGCATGAACTTGATCTACTGGAGGATCAGCACTGCTTTGGCTCTCAGAAGAGATGAAGAGATAGTTTCTGGCTGCGGTTGAGGTGGAGCTGTAATGTCATTTGTGGAGGTCATTTGTGCAGTTATTGCATCATAAAGCATCCTCTGCTGGCTGCAGAGAAACACTGCAAAATCTGCCTGTAGTCCTCATTGTGTGTGTGTGTGCGTGCGTGCGTGCGTGTGCGTGTGTGTGCGTGTGTGTGTGTGTGTGCGTGCACACACACACACA